TCTGCAAGAAATTAGTAATATTCTGAGAACATTGCTTTTGGATTCTTACAAAAGGAGCTGCTCTTTTGTCGATGCATACCAATGTTTACTTTCAAAGAGAAAGTACATTACACTAAATCAGTGAGACAAACTCTGTAGTGAAAGACAAGCTGGCATTTGGAGAGCATCTAATTTCAGGTTGGTATGTGAAGTTATTCTGATGGATGAGTGGGAGGTTATCTAAATGAAGCTGTTATAACTACATATACTCAAGCACTGCTTTCCAGCCTCCCTGGTAGGAAAGTATTTTAGTAACTAATCCTTTTAGACATGCATGGTTGAAAAGTGTCTTCAGCACTTCTGAGAATCATGTTACTTATTGCAGTTCCTGAATATGAATTTAGGTAGTTAAGGGTAGGCACCCATACTTGAAAATGTTGGTCTTAGTATTTCTTATGATTAAACACCATTGTAGACTAATCTACTGTTTCTTTTATAGGTCCCCTATAACGCCACTGTCATAAGATGTGCCATTTTAGAGAAATATAATAATTTCCATTTGGAGCTAAAATATTTGTACGTGTACATTTCATAGGGCACATCTGTGCGTGCAATTAATGTGCAGAAAATTCAGGCTCATTAATGTGCTTCTGGGTGCATGTCCACGTGCGCCCCTATCAGGAAGCAAATTGCCCCTGACAGGAACAGCCCAGTCCAGGGCTTCTCTTGCCCAGCTCTGCCCCCCTGCAACAGCGAGGAGGAATTCCAGGCTCCCCCGGGTGCTATCCCTGAGGGCTGGTAGTGGGGTTGGGAGCTGGTCCTGATCTCTGCTAGGTGGAGAGAGCCATGTGGGGATCGGGACCCATCCCAATCCCAATGTGGCTGGGAGACAGCTGCCCCTGCAGCTGGCACAGCTCCCCCCTCATTGGGGCCAAGCCAGGCAGCAGTGGACCCCCTGCTGCCTGGGCTGACTGGGAGCAAATTGTTCCTGGTCAGCATCTACATGCATCAAGTACCTGTATGTGTGGGTACTGGCAAATGGCATATTAGACTAATTTAATGCACAGTAAGTCCCATGCGCATATAGACAGCAATGCTTTACTGCGCATTAGATTAGTCTAATATGCAGTAAAGTGTTTCATGTAGATGCACCTGTAATGTAGTAACAGTGAAAGAATGCAGGTCCCTTGTGTATTACTGGCTTTATCAACCACTGCATCAGACATACAGAACCTTCCATTCCGACCATAACATGTTTAAAGGATTTCAGTTTGTCTTTAAGAATAATGAGCGTGTGACTAGGCGTACATGCATTTTTAGGGATGTTTGCTGAAATAGGATAAGATGCTGTATTTTGCTACCCATGTGGGCATAGCAGTCACTCTCCGTGTGTTTGAGAGGCTTTCTCCACCCTTTAGGCTAAATCTTGGCTCAGATTATCCTAGGTGGATCTGCATGTGGAGAGGTGTTTCAAGGAACAGATCTGTTCTCTGCTGTGTGTGTGTGTGGGGGGCACTTCTTCCCATTCCTAGGCTTCACAGAGGGCTTCCTTCCAGCTTGGGCTCTCAGACATGGGTTGAGGGAAGCATATAATTTTCTCCATGAGTTCTCAGAGATTACCCAGAGTAGGTAGTTTGACCTGTCTCATGGAGCCTTTCCATAGAGTACCAGGGGCATTTGGATGAACAGGGGCTGACAGAGTGAGTCTACTAGAACTGCATTCTGCACAGGAGAATACCAGCCAGTTCACAGAGCCCTTGCCTTCTGCATATCCACAGGAATCTCTGGGTCTTAGAACCCAAACTACAACTGATGAGCAGGGAGAGCCAATCCAAGCTCTACAGTGGTTTGGGGAAAGATATCACAAAGAGAACCTTACTGAGCTTTCTTCCACAATAAACTTCTACTTGATACTAGCATCATTGGCATTATCTATAATTGCAGAATCATAGGACATTAGGGTTGGAAGGGACCGGCCATTTAGTCCAACTCTGCTTAAAGAAAGACCATCCCCAGCTAGATCATCCCACCCAAGGCTTTGTTTTGCTGGGTCTTAAAAACAGTCAAGGATGGAGAGTAACCTCTATGGGTAACCTGTTCCAGTGTTTTACTGCCCTCTGGGCATGTCTGCATATGCTATTAATTCGAAGTAGGCTTACTGCGCAGTAATAAAAATACTGCCCAGTAAGCCTACAGGGAAAGCATGTCTACACCTGCTCCCTCTTGGGAGCAGATTTGCTCCCACCCTGCTCTGCCCCCTTGCAGCAGCCAGGAGGAGCTCCAGGCTTCCCCCTCCCACCCCCACGCTAGCCTGGGGGCTGGCAAGGGGCACAGGGTGGTCCCAGTGGGCATGGTGCCAGGAAAGTTCTCCAGCTGCAGCAGCAGCTGTCTCCCGGCCCTGTGCACATTGTGAGGGGACCTGATGTGCATGGAACCAAGAGAGAGCTGCCCCTGCATCGGGCAGAGCTCTCCTGGCTTGACACACATCCAGACACAACTGCCAGCAAGCCGCCTGCCAGGCATGGGGTTTGCTGGGAGCTGTCCAGGGTGTGGGGCAGCTGTGGGTGAGCCTCCTGCTGGCTGAGAAGACGCAGGGCTCACCAGCAGCTGCTCTGCTTGGCACAGAGCTGGCTGCTCCAGGGAGTTGGGGGGAGGCTAGGAATCCATCCTTCCATGTCCGCTGGAGCAGCCAGCTTACACCACATGGAGCTGGCTGCTCTGGGGAGCGGGTGGCGAGTGGCGGCTGGGAATCCAGCTCTCCAGAGCAGCCAGCTCTGCGTGGAGAGCAGGGACAGGGGCAGAGACCTCCCCAATCCTGACCTTGATCAGCTCCTGGAGGGAGCCAGGGAACTGAGCAGCACCAGGACCAGGGACAGAGAGCTTCCTGTGCTCTGTGGCTCCCTGCTGGCTAAGATGACCAGAAACAAATTTGCTTCTGGCCAGCATCTACGTGTGTTTTACTACACAGCATCTACTGCACGGTTAGTTTACTACTTGTATTTATAGGTAGTAGCTAACTGCGTAGTAGACTAATTTACTGTGAAGTAAATGTGAGCACGTGTAGATGATGACGCTTTACTGCACAGTAGACTAATCTACTGCTCACTACTAATCTACTATGCAGTAAAGTGTCTCATGTATGCACACTCTCTTACTGAGAAAGTGTTTCCTAATATCTAAACTCAACTTCCCTTGCTGCACCTTGAGACCAATGCTCCTTGTTCTGTTATCTGCCACCACTGAGAACAGTCCAGCTCCATCCTTATTGGAACCACCCTTCAGGTAGGTGAAGGCTGCTAATAAATCCCCTATCATGTGCATGCAGCACCTGGCCCAGCGTGGCAGGCATTCCCTGCAAGTGGCATGGAGCCCCAGGTGACAGCCTGGAGCTTCCCAAATGTGCACAGCCCCCACACTGTGCCACACCTGCATGGGGCAACTGCCCATAAGCTGCGGGTGGTGTGGGAGGCTGGAGCCAGGCAGGAGGGCTGGCAGGGAGCTGGAGCTGAGTGGGGGAGTGAGCAGGGGGGCTGGAGCTGGGCAGGGAAGTGAGGTGGAGGGTGGAGCTGAGTAGGGAAGCAAGCAAGTTTCTCTGAGTCCTAGCCCTGCCCTCCAGCATATCTACCACTCCCGCCATCTTGGTATCTTCTACAGACTTGCTGAGGATGCACTCTATCCCATCTTCCAGGTCACTGATGAAGATATATTAAACAAAACCAGCCCCAGGACCGACCCCTGGGGTACTTCAGTTTATACTGGATGCCAAGTAGACATCGAACCATTGACTAAAACTCTACCCTCTGAGCCCAGTGATGCAGCCAGTTTTCTGTTTATCTTACAGTCCATTCACCCAGCCTGTACTTCCTTAGCTTGTTTGCAAAAATGTTGTGGGAGACCACATCAAAAGCCTTGCTAAAGTCAAGGTACACCACACCCACTGGTCTCCCTACAATCCACAAAGCCATTCATCTCATCATAGAAGGCAGTCAGTTTGGTCAGGCGTGACTTGCTTGGTGAATCCATGCTGACTGTTCCTAATCACCTTCTTCTCCAAGTACTTAGAAATGGATTCCTTGAGGACCTGCTCCATGACTTCCAGGAACAGAGGTGAAGCTCACCAGTCCGTAGCTCCCTGGATTCTCCTTCTTCCCTTTCTTAAAGATGGGCACTATATTTTCCCTTTCTCAATTATCCAGAACCTCTCTTGATCACCAGGAGTTTTCAAAGATGATGGCTGGTGACTCTGCAGTTGCATTGTCCAACTCCCTCAGCACCCTCAGACGCATCCCATGTGGCCCCATAGACTTGTACACATCCAGTCCCACAGTGATCTAAGCAATAGGAATTTTGAAATCAATATTGAATAAACTTACTGTACAGATATGTAACTAAATAGAATATGTGATATGTCCTGGTAATTAAAATTACATTAGAGTTGAGAAACAAATAAGAAAAATGTTACATCTGATCTGTGCCCAGGAGAGTTGTTTAAATAAGTAAAAAAGAAATTCCAAGATCTTGGTGGTGTCCAAAAGAGAGTTTTGTAAATCATAACATGTAAGTCTTTGGAAAGTCACTTTCTGAGCAGCTCTCTGGGGGGTTCCATGTTCATTGTCACTCAACATTTCCATATTACATATGCTCTGTTTATATTTCTACTACATTAGTTTATCTAACTGCCAATCCTGGAACTCTGCCAGGATCTCAGAACCAAGCCATTTTATTTTTTCCCAGTTATCACATCAACATTAACAATTCTGCATTTGCAATGTAGTTATGTGTTGATGAGGTGTGAGCCAGACTTCTTCTCCATGCTGTGCTGATTTGTAAAGGCTAAGAAGGAAAAAAAACAGTAAAAAATTATCCTAGTCAATCAAGTAAGACAATCTGATCTCAAGTATTTTTAGGAAACAGATTTGTTAGACACAGTTTGTACTTGACCACATTTTGGAATAGAATTTCTCTTTTACAAGAGGTAGTTTCAGATGTTAGATGCTTTCTGATTTGTGTTCATACCTTAGATAGAAGATCTTCAGAAGCAATTGCACCTAGCTCATTCGGAAATGGCAGAGGCTCAGACTGAAAGGGATCAATACAGCCAAGAATCTGGAAATCTAGATGATCAACTTCAGCACTTACTGGTAGGATTCTGAGATGCAACAAACCATTGAGGAAATAAAATTTATTGTGGAATTCCCATCCAGTAATTCACTTATTTTTCTTTCCTAGTGTTCAGTTGGCTAGAGAAAGCAAAGGTCGAGACTTAATTTCTATTATATATTTTAGTTTTCCAGAAAATCTTCAAAAGGTCTTTTTAATTGGGAACCAAGAAATTATAAGAGAGCCAAACATTTAAAATTATGGCTCTTAATGAAGGCTGGCAAGCACTCTCACTCTGGATGCCTACACACATCTAAATCAACTTAAGGCGACTTAACTAAAGCAACTTAAATTAAGCCATGTCGGAGTGTACACAGGTACAGCTCCTTGACACTGTGGTAGCCATTTTATTATATATGGCAATATTAACTAATACAACTCAAGATGATACACGTTGGTGTATTATCTTGCACCGCATTTAAGTCGGCTCCGCTCCACATACATGTGTACGCTCTGACAGTTAAGTTGACTTGAAAAAAATTAAGTTGACTTAACTGTCAGCAAGTTAGTACATGTGTACAGACCCTCTGACTGCATAATTAAGATGTATTAATATCACATCTTCCTACACTTGTTCCTTTCTTACCTATTTTGTAAGATATATTTGATTCTGGACTTTTCCAAAAGGTTTTAAGTATTCCCCATCCATAGAATGAAGAGATCTCAGATTGGGGGGAAAAACACCTACTGTATATATGACATTTAAAAATATAGTATCAAAACAGTGCAACATGGACTGTTGGTTTCATCATTGGTTTTATACACAAATGTCTCTATGCTATGGAGATATAATGGGTATTTATACACATACATTTGTTGATTAATCGAGTCTGCTCCACATGTGAGCTGATATACCTGGTGCCTGCTTCTCATTAATTTGTATGAATAGTGAAATGAGCATCATCCTTATAAAATGGTGGCAGTGCGCTTTTGAACTGAAACACCTTTGATGCGTTTTAGTTCAAAAGCATGCCACTGCCATTTTCTCAGCAGTGACGCACATTTTGCAATTTATACAAATGTATGTGCCACAGCGCCGGGCACTTTTAGCTGGGCGCTTTTAAAAGCGCCTGGCACTGTGGCACAAGTATGTGTACAAATGCCCAACATTTCAGCACACTTACATTTTTCTTTGTACAAGTGCTACAATTTCACGATTGGGATTGGGGAGGTTAGTATACATGGAACCAGTAGTTTCATGTCTAGTGTAGCTAGCATAGTTGGTGTCAAATTGATTAGAAATGAGTTCTGTCTGCTGTTTGTCTAATCAGGAATATGTGAAGTTCATTTTTATAGCTGGAGTCAGGGTAATAAATGTTTAAATAAGGGTAATTCATCATAATTTTAGAGTCATTAAGAAGAAACTGCTTGAAAATAGATACTTCCAGTTTTGAAGGGCCATGTCACACAGGACACAACATGTGTTAAATGCAATTAAATGCCACTGTCTTCACTGTCAAGCAGGATAACGTGATAAGTGCTATTGTATCATATTGTATCATAGAAGAGTTATGCTTATTCAAGGGAGGAGTAGCTCCAAATTTTATATAAGTAACATGTGTTGAGCTAATGTGGGACTGCTCCATAGAGATTGTTGATCCCAACAATCCCAGCCCTGGGACTGAGCAATTGCAGTCCCAGGGCTGGAACCCACAATCTGCTGATTGTGAGCCTCAGGACCACACAGGACTACACTGGAGTCTCTGGCTCTGGTGCAGTCTTAGGGCTGAGACCAAAATTTAGCTGATTGTCATTCTCAGCCCTGGGACTGGACCAGAGTCTCCAATTGGTTTTGATGTGATCTTGGGCCGACAGTATGAACCTTGTTGATTGTTGATCGCAGCCCAGGAACTGTATCAGAGGCTCCAGTCATATCTAATGCAGTCCATGAGCTAAGGCTGACTATCAGCTGATTTTTGGTTTTAGTCTTGGAACCACACTGGAATCTCCAACCATCTCCTGAGAGGTCCAAGAGCTGACCCAAAAAACAGTTAATAGTTGGTCTTAGCCCAGTGTCCATGCTGGAGTCTGTTGGAGATTCTAGTGTGGTCCCAGGGCTGCAGCTGACAATCAGCTGATCGTAAGTCTTAGCCCCCATGGCACTGGAGTCCTGATGTAGCTCCAGTGCCATGTTGGGGCTGCACCGACAGTCTTGATTTTCAGTCCCAGCCCCTGCACCAAAGTCTTGAATCAGCTGATTGTCTGTCCCAGCCCTGGGACCACACCAGAGTATTGAACTGACTCCAGTGCAGTGCTGGTGCTGGACCAAAAATCATTGATTGTCAGTCTTAGTCCCAACACTTTGCTGGAGCATGTTTAAAACTGCAGTGCAGTATGCAGGGGCTGGGACCAACAAGCACCTGAAACTGCTTGAAGGCTCTGGTGAGATGCAGAGCCTGAGACTGACAATCATTGATTGTAGTAAGCATTACTGTGTGACTGTTCAGAACATGTTTTAACTTTTGATACAGCACAGTAATGCTTATTACAGTCTTGTATAAAACACATGCTAAGTATCCCAAGTGACGGGATATTGCTCCAGTAGCAAAGATGATTTGTTGTAATACCTTCACTGCATAATCCCAATCTTTTATTCTTTGAGCCTCCTATTTCACTGTTTTCTTGAACTACTCAAATGTTTGTCATTGCCTCAACTTCCAAAATTTAGCCTCATAAATTTTTATTAAGAATTTTGTTCAGCGTCCCTTCTTAAATATACATCTTCAAAGTTTGGTAGCGATCTAGAAGTGGGACCTCTATTTTTTACTAAAAATGATTAGCACTCAAAAAATGTGTAGTAAATTACTAAAATCAAAGGAAATCAAGTTATGATATTGCAATTCTTATTACTACTCAAGGTAGAGTTTTCACTAGGAGGTATATACTGAAGTATACTTACTGTCTTGACATTTAATTCTAATACAGTACTGCTTTTTCATTCAGCCAATTGTACTGATTTTTTTCAAATATCACATGTGGAGCTTGAGATGGTTTCAGAAGCTTCTAGTCTTAAGATGTTAAATGTTGTAAGATAGCAGCAGGTTTAGTTCAGAGATGTTGCTTTCTTGTAGGAAAGGGTGCCACCATGCTATTCAAACTACTTGTTGGTCAGTGGTCTGGCTCTCTCTTGTGTAAACCATGTAATGATCCTTGCTCAAATGAGGTAACAAGAAAGCTTGATGTTTAATTTAATGAGAGAAATTGGTACAATCTCACATAGGCTGATCTACATAAAAGGGAGATGGAACTGAGTCTGGAAAAGGAACAGAACAAGAGACTTTGGGATCGGGATACTGGCAACAGTATCACAATTGATCACCTGCGGAGAGAACTGGACAATAAGAACATGGAATTGCAGCGAATGGAAAGCATCCTGAAGATAATGAAGACCGAGTGTCAAGGACAAATGGAACGTCAGGTCGGTATCTGCTGCATGGTATTGCCATTGTGAAGGCATTCACATTCATGCAAGTTATATCCTAGATACATATCTTATGTTCCCCAGTATTTGTAGTTATCATGGCTAGAGTGCACTAAGGTGCCAAGCCTGTCCTGTTTTAGAGCCATGGTTTTAATCACTCAGAATTTTCTGGAAATGTTACCTGTCACCTGGCAGGCAAGGTTCTTTGGTAGATGTGATATCTTTAATTAGACCAACTAAAATAGTTGGGAAAAAGTTATTTGCAAGCTTTTAGGCACAAACACCCTTCATCAAGCATAGGGAGACGCTACAGCTGTTAACTATGCCTGACATGTTTGTGTCTGAAAGCTTGCAAGAACTTTTTTCCAACTATTTTTGTTGGTCTAATAAAAGATATCACATCTATCTAAACAGCCTTGCCTGTCTGTCCTTAGACCAACATAGCTACAAACAACACCCCTTACCTGTCATCTAAAATTTCTGGTCCTGATTTCCACCCAAAGGCAGAACAGGTGCCAGAATAAGTGTTTCAAATGTTGAAATTGGGTAAGGAAGGAGGGAAAGTGACTTTGAGTGTTCTGGAGAAGTTTGATTTGTCTTTGACTCCAGAAATCACATTTTGTATATGTACAGTAAATTTAATCACATAACACTATGAAGTGTTCTGTAATTTCCTTCTCTTTCAAGAATGACTTCTGCAAGATTCATTTTATAGAGTATTTAGTAATTTATGTCCACAATTTGAATTGTGGACTGAGTTTAGTCTTTTGTTTGAAAGGATAGTTTTATTACTTTCAATAGAGTAGATTCTTGTATGTGTAGCTATAGTCTCATCCCCTTCCTTCAAACTCTTCTATCTCCTTAAAAGAACATCTTTTAACCCCAGATAAGTAACCTAAGCCAATCCTATCTGCTGCTACTCTGCACTCAGAAAAGGTCAAGTGAATTTGATTCCTGTCTTTCCACCGAACAACAGGATTTTTTGCTGTTGTTTCCACCTTCCTGCAAGAAATTCCACCTCCAGTTACTGATATTCTGAGGTTTGATGTTATCTAATGAGTCTTTACTACACTATGGTCGCATCTACATGTGTCGCTATGGCAACATTGTTACTGCACCGTGATTTAGTACTTCCTTTTGGAAGCACTAAATCACAGCGCAGTAATAGCCCATACTGCTCTGTACATATAGCGCATGGTTGTTTTTAGCAGCTACTTTGCCGTAGCAGCTTGCTATAATGGGGGGAGCATGTCACTATGGCAAAGTAGCTGCTGATTATGTGTAGACCACCTGCGAATGCTACATGGCCATAGCATGTTGCTACAAAGCCCTATTAGCAGCTTCTGGGTCATGATGCTTTCTGGCAAAAGTTATCTCATGAAAATCTATGCTTCTTGCTGACAACAGCAATGAACTTATTTATATGTTATTGATGAGTACAAGCTCCTTTCAGGATATAGTTACTGTAAAATGCAATTGGCCAGTTTTTCATATATTCAAGGACACAGACCTGTCACCTCTAAATTGCCTAAAGACAATTAATTTTTATATCTTACACCTGTCCTACTTACAGCTATAATAGCAGAGTTAAGACAGCCTTCAAAAAATTGAAGGTGTCCCCAAATGAAGAAGACAGGAAAGCTTACAAACTGTGGCAGGTCAAGTGTAAAAGTGAAATAAGGCAGGCCAAAAAAGAATTTGAGGAGTGTCTAGAAAAAGATGCTAAAGGTAATAATAAAACTTTAAAAAATATGTCAGAAGCAAGAAGCCAGCTAGAAAATCAGTGGGACCATTAGGTGACCAGGGTGTAAAAAGTGCGCTCGGGGATGATAAGGCCATAGCAGAAAAGCTACATTATTTTTTTTGCCTTGGTATTTACTGCAGAAGTTACTGGGGAAGTTCCCAGGCCAGACCAATCCGTTCTAGGAGATGGGTCTGAAGAGTTGGACCACACTGAAGTAACAACAAAAGAAGTTTTGGAACAAACCAGTAAACTGAATACAGTAAAAGCTGCGCTATCCAGCATCTTACAAGCTGGCATGCTCTACTAACTGGCATGCCGGCTTGTAAGATAAAGTAAAACCAGAAGTGCCCACGGCAGCACTTCTGGTTTTTCCAAGCCCCCCATGGCCGGGGGCAAAGCAGGCTGCGCTGCCAAGGTCCCACAGCCCGGGGGCATAACAGGCTGTGTGGGGCTGTGCAGGGCCCGTTTCCCTGTCCTGTGAGGCCCGCAGGGCCTGTGGGAGGGGTGGTGATGCCGCGGGAGGGGCGGAGAGATGCCCCAGACATGGCGGGAGAAGCGGTGGCTGGGGCCGCTCAATTAACCAGCATATTTTGTTGTCCGGCATCCCCCATTCCTGGAGGATGCTGCATAACAGAGCTTTTACTGTACTAAAAAGTCACCAGGACTGGATGACATTCACTTTAGAGTTCTGAAAGAACTCAAAGATGAAATTACAGAATTTTGCTGTCAAGTTGGTAGAAACTATAAGACAAAGTAAAATCAAGTCACATAGACAAATATGATCTTCTGCGGATTGTATTTGCATTGTTTTTTTAAAGGGAAATACTGCCTCACCAATTTACTACAGTTCTTTGAGGGTGTCAACAAGTATGTGGATAAGATGGATCCAGTTGACATAATATATTTCGACTTTCAGAAAGCATCCAACAAGGTCTCTCACTAAAGGCTTTAAAAAAAAACTGGATTGTTACAGGATTGGAAGAAAGTTTCTTATGTGAATTGAGAGGTGGCTGAGAGGTGGAAAGACAGAAAACAAATGGTCCTGTAGGAATATGTGGTGGGCCCTGTTTTGTTCAGCATTTTAATCAATAACCTGGAAATGGTAGTACACAGTGAAATCTCCAAGCCTGCAGATGATACCAAATTATTCTGGGTAGTCAGGTCCCAAGCTGATGGAGTGGAACTGCAGAAAAAAACTCATCAGGCTAAGGGAATGGGCAAAAAAATGGCAGATGAGTTTCAGCATTGACAAGTGCAAGGTAATGCACCTGGGGAAAAATAACCTAACCTATATGTACACAATCCTGGGTTCTGAGCTAGCTGTTATGACTTAGGTGACAGACCTTGGAGTCATCATTAGATAGTTTTTGAAAGCATCAGCTTGGTGTATAGCAGCAACTAAAAAACCCCAAACCCAATAACATGTTAGGCATCATTAACAAGGGAATTGAAAACCAAATGGAGAACATCATCATGCCATTATACAAATCCATAGTTTGCCCACATCATGAATACTGTGTGCTGTTCTGGTCCCCACATCTCAAAAAGGATGTTGTAGATCAGGGGCTTGGACCAGTTGCCATACCAGGAAAGATAAAAAAAAAAAAAAGGCTAGGACTCTTCAATTTGGAAAGGAGAGTGCTGAAGGGGATATGGTAGAGGTCTATAAAATCACGAAGAGTATGGACCAAGTGAACAGGGAACTGTTGTTCACCAAGTCCCAGAATACTAGAACTAGGGGGCATGCACTAAAATTAGTAGGTAACAGGTTTAACACTAACAAGAGAAAGTGGATGCTAGGGAAGATATTGAATAGGGGATAGTTCACTCTAGAGCCATCCACTTCGATGCTGTCCTTGTATAGCATCAACTTCTGCCACTGTCAGAGACAGACCTATTTGTTGCCTAAGGAATATGGGTCAGTGCCCACTAGGAAACATTATAAGACTCCCTGAAAAAGGGAAGCTACAAAGTAAACAACAATTGATTTCTGGGGACAATTAAAGATACAGCAGGGATGAGAGTGGAGGTCAGAGGTTAACAACAAGAGCGCCAAGGGGGGCCACCAAGCAGAGCACACCAGACAGTGCCCACTGTTGGAGACAGGATACTGGGCTAGATGGAGCATTGGTCTGACCCAGTATGGCACATCTTATGTTCTTATAAAACTATATTTTAAGAAGTTTTCCTTTTACTGAGGGAAAAAGAACAGAAGACTCACGAGGTTCACTAGGAGCCTTGCCATGCTAACCTAATGTATCTATGAAGCATTAAGGTACTGTAATGATGAGTGCCATAGGAGACTGATAGGGATGCCTCTGTAGATAGATAGAAAATATGTTTATCAAAGTCGAACATTTTATCATTACTGTTCAGATGGCTGCAATTAAGGAAAAAAATGAGAGCATTGAAAGAGTCTCCTCCTTGACTGCCCAACTAGAGTCAACCAAAGAAACATTTCGTAAAGTGGTTGAAGACCTGACAGCCAAGACAATGAATCTTGAGACTGCTGAGAGAACAGTGTCTGAATTGAGAATCTGCCTGCAAGAGAAGGCGAGATCCACTGAGATTACCAATGAGGAAATTAAGAAGCTCCGTTCAAGAGTAGATGGTAAATTGCAGGAGCTTCAACACTTAAGGAATGAAGGGGATCATCTACGAAATGTGCAGACAGAGTGTGAGACACTAAAACTTCAGATAATGGAGAAGGAAAGGATTATTGAGATCTTCCAAAAGCAAATTGATAATATGACTCAAATTGTGGGCCAGCATGGCCGAACTGCTGGTGCAATGGAGGTAGAAAAATCTCAGCTTGTGAAAGAGGTCAATGACAGAAAACTGGAAGTACAAGAACTTAAGGTCTGTATAAGACAACACATTAATTATTTTTAAAAAACCACATATGGATATGTTAATATGTTTTCAAGCAGGTCATAAGATGGGCCCAAGACCCTGTAAACATTTAAAAGAACTAACATAGCAGAGAACAATAGTATTATCATTTTGATTAATGTGTATGTTCTGGCCCTACTGAAGTCAGTGGAAGTTGTGCCATTAAATTCATGGAGCCACATTTTACCCTCTATTCATGAGACTACAATTTGAAAAGTGTACCTGAGTTGCACATGTAAAATCACATATTTGCTTTATACAAATGCTGGGATTGCTTGTACACTTAAAAATTTAATATTGTGTGCCATTGCCCAGGTATGCACGCCCAAGTGCCATTTTTGTGCATAATTTACTTCTGATTTTTATAATTGGGTGGCTCTAGTGGACGCTCTGAGTACAACACCACCCCCTTTGGTTGGGGTCCCCCAAGTCGCCTGGCACGACTTGTTACCTGAAGAGAAGGAGGGAGTTCAGTGGTGTTCTTCTTCCCCTATCGACCTGAAGATGGTATACTCACAGAAGTGCTGTGGTGTTCCTTGGGGCTCCCGCCTCCCCTACATCCAGTCCACTTGCCAACCACTTGGGTGTTCCGCTCGTTGCTCCGCTGATCCCTGTAAGCCCCTTTACTATGGGGGTCTGGTGTCAGCTTCGGCAAACCAGCCGGTTGCCTGGATGTTAATGCGTCTGGAGCCTCAGTCCTTGATCCCAAAGGGCTGAGCTTCCGTTGTCTGGTGTCCTCCCCCCTCTGAGGGAGAGGGACGCTTCTATAAGCTTTGAAATTGAGGTGGCTGGGGATTGTCCATCCCCAGTCTAATGCCGGACACTGCTCCCCCTGCCTTTGATGCAGAGGCAGTGTCTGCAGTGCTGCTACTACCAGCCTCTGGAGCCACCGCCTGCCAGCGTGCTTCCAGCTGGCTCTCTCCCTCTCTCTCCCTGCCGGCTTCCAGCGAGGTTTTTAAATTTCCCGTGGTGGTGGCATCAGCTGCTGCAGTCAGCTGGCCGCTGCCCCACCTGGGAAGCAGATGCTTGAAGAGCCGGCATAATGCCGGCTCGCACGGCTCCTGCTCTGCTCCTGCTTGTCCTGGCAGTAAGTTTCCCGGGGTACAGGGGGCCTGCTCATTCCCCTTGGGAATGCCTGGGCTTGCCCCCAGCATCCTCCGTGCCTGTGGGGGCTTCTCGCCACCACAATAATTGACAGTCTATTTGATGTACTCCATCATTTTACCAAGGCACAAGAAAGAACAAAGGAGGCGTCAAAAGAAAGTTTCTCATCAAAAATTTCCATTGGTAGCATCCAAAGCCTGACAAGCCTGACATGTCTCACAGAAGGGAGAACTGAAGGTGCTTTTAAACTTTAGGTGATGGTGTGAATAGACTAACCCAGAGACAAGGAATTTAACTGTGGTTATAAAAGGCTACCCCCCCTCCCCCAATCATTCTCAGCTTCTCTTTCTTTCTCTGTTTTGGTTATCAAACCAATTTAAAGTTAGTATAATACTTAGCTTTTATAATTGACATTAGATATAACTAATGTTAAGTCCAGAATTAGTTTGCTCTTTCATTGGTAGATCCACAGAAGTGTTTCAGCTGCAGCTATCACTGACAATAAAAAGGAACAACATGTAAGATGCTTAAAATGATGTTGAATATGTCATTGCTTTTGGAGGTGTTTAGCCTTCAAAAAATCTGGATCTGTCACCCTCTGTTGTTACTGAGCACTGCCAACACAAGCTATAAACAGTTGTCTTTCTCTCAGGAGAGGATGTTTTGTCCTGCATCCAAGGGCGAGCTTACAGACATGCAAGTGTATCCCAGGTCAACTCCCACCAAAGTATGGGATAAGATGTGCCATCACTTTCACCTGGGGCATCATGGAGAGCAGCTGCAGGGTTAACCTTGTTCAGTGTCCCAGGACAAGCTAGTCGTGCAGTCCTCCAAATATCCCACAATGCACCACTCTCATCTCAACCCTGGCCTCTCTTGGATGCCGGGTGGCTACTCTGGCAGGGGTGCAGAACTCTATTGTCCTGAGGTGATAGGCCTTGCCCACCCTTTTATTGACTTGCATGACAATTTGCCAGCCATTCTGTACTCACCTGCCACACAGTCAAAGTCAGCAATGGAACCTGGTCTGCAACTCCACCCATCAGGAGGACATCTAGTGCGGACATCCCAAAGTCATCACAAGACATGGCACCAACAGCCACTGACATCTGCAAGCATAGCAGCAATTGGAGTCAAGGCAAGAGAATGGACCTGATTACCATCTGGGGATAAGTGGAAGACCAGTGGGTGCTCCATTCTAACCGCTGTAACTAGGCTGTCTTCAAAATGATTGCCACAGTAGTGGCAGTCTGGGCACAAGCATGGTTGGCAACAGTGGTATTCAAACTGCAAGGTATTGAGGCAGCAGCTCATGAGGGCCTGTGATACCAACTGCATGTCCAGGATGCACCTACTACGAGAAACTGTCCCAAATCCTCTTAGTGAATGATATAGTTAAATGCCAGAACATTCTAGACATGGCCCTAATTTTCCAGGACTCAGACAGTGACTTGGATGACACTGTGGTTGTAGGAGACAACCATGAAGCTGAGCCAGGTTGAGATCTCCCCACCTCTCCAAGACAGCAGCATGGACATGGAGATGGACCTGGAGTTGGATAGTGACTGGTCACAGTCTTCACA